AGTTCAGTGAAATTTTAGGACCTGATCTTACAAATTGAACCTAGTGTTCTTTCTAGAATACTGTTACAGGTAAAGTCTCTTTGTTCAGAACTCCTGAGGGCTATGGGTAAGCCAACTTAATCCCTTTGTGTTTAAATCAGTGAATAGATTCTTTAATCTACAAATAATAAGAGATCACAGCTTGAATAATATTAAAACACCTAGGCCCAGGCGGTGGATCACGCCTGTAATCTCAGCACTTTGGGAGGCCAAGGCGTGTGGATCACGAGGTCAAGAGATTGAGACCATCCTGGTCAATGGTGAAACCCCGTCTCTACTGAAAATACAAAAAATTAGCTGGGCATGGTGGCGCGTGCCTGTAATCCCAGCTACTCAGGAGGCTGAGGCAAGAGAATTGCCTGAACCCAGGAGGCGGAAGTTGCGGTGAGCCGAGATCGCGCCATTGCACTCCAGCCTGGGTAACAAGAGCGAAACTATGTCTCAAAAAAAAAAAAAAAAAAAAAAAAAAAAAAGTTAAAACACCTTGGAATTCATTCACCCTTCCTTTGTTGCCTAGTACATTGTCAATTTTTGTAAAGTTTCAGGTTTGCTTAAAAAGAATATATTCTCACCAGCTGCTGTGGCTCATGCCTGTAATCCCAGTTCTTTGGGAGGCCGAGGTTGGAGGATCCCTTGAGCCCAGGAGTTTAAGACTAGCCTGGGCAATGTCATGAGTCTCATCTTTACGAAAAGAAAAAAAAAAAAAAAATTAGCCAGGTGCGGTGGCTCACACCTGTAATCCCAGCACTTTGGGAGGCCTAGGCAGGCAGATCATCTGAGGTCAGGAGTTCGAGACTATCCTGACCAACATGGTGAAACCCCATCTCTAAAAATATAAAAATTGGCCAGGTGGTGGTGCATGCCTGTAATCCCAGCTACTTGGGAGGCTGAGGCAGGAGAATAGCTTGAACACAGGAGGTGGAGGTTGCAGTGAGCCGAGATTGCGCCATTGCACTCCAGCCTGGGTGACAATTATGAGACTCTGCCTTAAAAAAATAAAAATTAAAATTAAATTAGCCAGGTATGGTGGTACAGACTTTTATTTCTAGTTACTTGGGAGGCTGAGGAGGTCCATGTGATGCCAACTAATGAGAAATTCCAGAGTTAATTTATCTAAAGTGTAAATGTCACAGTGAAAGAGAAATAACTGGTGCTTCTGACATTTTAGGCTAAAAGAATGAAGAAATGACTGTGGCAAGAACCTCTAGATTATACCAAAAGAAAGGATGAATAATTATTAGGTTAGTGTGAATGGAGAGAAGCTCATGAAAAAGGAAAATATTTTCTGTTGTCGTTTCTTCTGTGGTCAAGCTTGAACTAGCGGCGGGTTTATCTCAGTTGCTCCGCTGTGAGGTACACGTGAAACAGAAAGATTATAAAAGCTATATTATAAGTCCCTTCCAGTGTGGACAGTCCTATTCCCTTCTAAGACCTGTATATTCTCTGGATTCTTAGTTTAAAGCAACAACATTACAGCTTCAATTGAGATAAGGCAGAAGTGGTTTCACCATTTTCACATCTCACTTCGTATTGACCTAGATTAAAAGTAAAGTTACTCTTCTTGGATTTATTTTCATGTCACAAAATATGCAGATTCACCACTAATTCATTTTGAAAATTCTCCTCTAGAAACATGCTTTTATATCAAGACAAATTTCTCTCAAATAAAGTTAAATAAACAAAAAATCATGGGTCAAAGCCTCATTGTCTGCTGAGCAATCGTGTAATGTTTCCGTTTCTATTTACTACCTTAATTCTTTTTCTCAATTTTCTTGAAAATTCTCTATTTAACTTTATTGAGATTATAATTAATATGCTGCAGGTATAAGTAACTCATACCTATAATCCCTAACCCCAGCACTTTGGGAGGCCAAGGAGAGAGAGTCACTTGACCTCAGAAGTTCCAGACTAGCTTGGGCAACATAGACCCATTTTTACAAGAAAAAAATTTTAAAAAAAAATGGGGTTTCACCATGTTGACCAGGCTGGTCTTGAACTCCTGACCTCAAGAGATCCACCCACCTCTGCCTCCCAAAGTGCTGGGATTACAGGCGTGAGCCACCACGCCCGGCAAAAAAAAATTTTTTTTTAATTAGCCAGGCACACACCTGTAGTCCCAGCTACTTGGGAGGCTGAGGTGGGAGGATCGCTTAAACCTAGCAGATCAAGGGTGCAGTGAGCCATGATTGTGACATTAGATTGTAATCAAGCCTGGGCAACAGAGTGAAACCCTGTCTCAAAATAAGTAAAATAAACCCATTATAGGTGAACCGTGCCACTATATATGCATGACATTTGCATGTCTTATTTGCTGAAAAGTCTCTTCAAACCCTTTTGCACTTCTTTTTTTTTTTTTTTGAGACAGAGTCTTGCTCTGTCACCCAGGCTGGAGTGCAATGGCAAGATCTCAGCTCACTGCAAACTCCACCTCTCAGGTTCAAGCAATTCTCCTGCCTCAGCCTCCCGAGTAGCTGGGACTACAGGTGCATGCCACCATGCCTGGTTAATTAGTAGAAACAGGGTTTCATCATGTTAGCCAGGATGGTCTCAATCTCCTGACCTCGTGATCTCCCCACCTTGGGCTCCCAAAGTGCTGGGATTACAGGTGTGAGCCACCGTTCCTGGCTGGCCCTTTGCCCACTACTTAAATTTGGTTAACCATCAACAACCTGCTGTCTACCTCTGCTTCTATTAAAACTAATCTCCGAAATAATGAAATGCCATGGATATCATAATCCCAAATAACAAGTCTTTTTTTTTTTTTTTTTCTGAGACGGAATTTTGCTCTTTTTACCTAGTTGCTGGAGTGCAATGTCGTGATCTCGGCTCACTGCAAACTCCGTCTCATGGGTTCAAGCAATTCTCCTGCCTCAGCCTCCCGAGTAGCTGGGACTACAGGCATGCGCCACCATGCCCAGCTAATTTTTGTATTTTTAGTAGAGACGGGGTTTCACCATGTTGACCAAGACGGTCTCGATCTCTTGACTTTGTGATCCACCCATCTCGGCCTCCCAAAGTGCTGGGATTATAGGTGTGAGCCACTGTGCCCGGCAACAAGTCTTATAGTGTATTTTGGTCATCTTCTCCTTGGCCCTCCTGCAATATTGGATAATGTCTTCAATAACCCTTTCTTGAAATGTTGTCTTACTTAGTTGTCCAGAATAGAATACATTTCTGATTTTTCTGGAAGATCTTTGATAACTCCCTTTTCTGGGTTGCAGTCTACCCACCCTTTCTAGGTGGTGATTCAGTTCACGTAGACTAGACCTCTGCCCTCTGCTCTACTTCTACATTTTATTTCATAGTAATTATAGTGTCTTCAAGAAAATTCCTAAATTGGCTGGATGTGGTGGTGGGTGCCTGTAGTACCAGCTACTGAGGAGGCTGAGTCATGAGAATTGCTTGAACCCAGAAGGCACAGGTTGCAGTGAGCCAAAATTGCACCACTGCACTCCAGCCTGAGGGACACAGCGAGACTCCATCTCAAAAAAAAAAAAATTCTAGAAGGCAGTGAGATATCTGATGTCTTCAAGGAACTGGTGTTATCTGAGAATGGTGAGAACTGGAGTGGGAGGGAAACTGACTGACAGGCCCTACTGTAGAGGAGTGACACAGTGCTGTGAGAAGGGATGCAGCTAGGTGGGAGAGAAACACCCCTTTGATCTCTTCCTGGTGTCTCCCATTTGTAGAAACCAGAGTTTAGGACAGTCTGGGTAAAACCATCCACGTGGTCAGCAGAGGGTATGGGAAATAATCTGCGAGCAAATGAAGACCAGCCAACACAGTTGGGGTCTAAAGCAAACATCTCACCATACTTTTTTTTTTTTTAGTCAGAATCTTGCTTTGTTGCCCAGGCTGGAGTGCAGTGGTGTGATCTCGGCTCACTGCAGCCCCTGCCTCCTAGGTTCCAGTGACTCTCCGCCTCAGCCTCCCAAGTAGCTGGGATTACAGGCACACACAACCACATCCAACTAATTTTTATATTTTTAGTAGAAACAGGGTTTCATCATGTTGGCTATGCTGGTCTTGAACTGCTGACCACAAGCGACCTGCCCGCCTCGGCCTTTCAAAGTGTTAGGATTATAGGCATGAGCCACTGTGCTGTACCCTCATCATCTTTTGTGCCTTAATCATCTTCCTGTTTTGACTTCTGTGCCTCCATCAATGGCACCATTACTCTCCCATCCTCTTAAGCTGGAACCTCAGAAATCAAACACTTCAGCTCCTTTCATGGATTTTTCCCCCTCTTTTTCTCTTTTTCCCTCTTTTTTTTCTTTTTCCCTCTTTTTCTTTCTCTTTCTTAAAAATAAATAAATAAATAAATAAATAAATAAATAAATAAAACAAATTTTTTGAGACCCTGGCTTTCAACAAAAAGCCAAGCTTTACAAACAGAGCTAAATGTCCTTCCAAAAAAAAAAAAAAAAAAAGAAAAAAGAAAAAAAAAAAATGGCCAAGGTGGGCAGATCAGTTGAGGTAAAAAAAAAAGAAAAAAAAAGAAAGAAAATTCTTACCCCTTATTTGGCATTACCCTGCTCATAGGGTTGGACTATTAAATCCTCTGTAAATATGAGACTTCACAATCTTGGCCGGGCGCGGTGGCGCGCACCTGTAATCCCAGCAGTTTGGGAGGCCGAGGCAGGTGGATCACAAGGTCAAGAGATCGAGACCGTCTTGGTCAACATGGTGAAACCCCGTCTCTACTAAAAATACAAAAAATTAGCTGGGCATGGTGGCGCGTGCCTGTAATCCCAGCTCCTCGGGAGGCTGAGGCAGGAGAATTGCCCGAACCCAGGAGGCGGAGGTTGCGGTGAGCCGAGATCGCGCCATTGCACTCCAGCCTGGGTAACAAGAGCGAAACTCCGTCTCAAAAAAAAAAAGAAAAAAAAAAAAAAGCTGAAGGAACCCGACCCCAGCGTACCCTCCGGCGGCTCTGGCGTCGCGTCCCCAGGGAGGTGGCTGCGCGCCTCCGACCCTGCCGGGCAGCTTTGTGACTTCACTCTTTCGCAACAAGCCCGGGCCTCCGGCGCCCCACTCACCCTGGCCCGGCCGCCTCGCCGCCCGCCGCCTCGCTCTGCTCTTCGCGCTTCCCCCCACTCCCAGGCTGGGCCTGCCCCGCTCGTCGCGGAGCCTTCCTGTCCCGCCGCCAGTGTGCCCGGCCGCCGCCCACAGGCAGCCCGGAGCAACCTGGAGCGACCCGGTGCCCCGCCCCGCTGAGAAAAGCGCTCTCTCCGCAGAGGCGACGGCACGATGCTGTGCTTCCTCAGGGGAATGGCTTTCCTCCCCTTCCTCTTGGTGACCTGGTTGTCAGCCGCCTTCATCATCTCCTATATGGTGGCCTTGCTCTCCGGGCACGTCAACCCCTTCGTCCCCTACATCAGGTGAAGAGCAGGGTGGGCGCCAGGGCTCCGGGAGCAGGCGCAGGCGCCACAGGGAGCGCTGCCGATGTGGAGGGAAGGCGTCCGGACCCAGCTGGGGGCGTCCTGCAGTCAGGCCGAGGTGTGAGCAGGAGGAGAGGTGCTCCCCGCAGCCTGGGGTGTTTAGGGAGGCAGCGGGGCGGCGCTGAGCACCTCTGCCTGTACCCGGAGCACGGAACAGGCACCAGGAGGGGTTCGGGATAGACCGTAGAGCTTTCAGTTGGGGTATGTATGGGACAGAATCTCAGCAGGGCGATATTGCCCAGGCTGGAGTGCAATAGTGTGGTCTCAGCTCACTGCAACCTCCTCCTCCTGGGTTCAAGCAACTCTCCTGCCTTAGTCTCCCAAGTAGCTAGGATTACAGGCATACGCCACCATACCCAGTTAATTTTTTTTTTTTTTGAGATGGAGTCTCACCCAGACTGGAGAGTAGTGGCACAATCTCAGCTCACTACAACCTCTGCCTTTCGGGTTCAAGCGATTCTCCCACCTCAGCCTCCTGAGTAGCTGGGATTACAGGCGCGAGCCACCACACTAGGCTAATTTTTGTATTTTTAGTAGAGACAAAGTTTCGCCATGTTGTTCAGGCTGGTCTCAAACGCCTGACCTTGTGATCCACCTGCCTCGACCTCCCAAAGTGCTGGGAGACAGGCATGAGCCACTGCACCTGGCCTTTTTTGTATTTTTTTGGAGACAGATCTCTCTGTCGCCCAGGCTGGAGTTCAGTGGTGTGATCTTGGCTTACTGCAACCTCTGCCTCCAGGGTTCATGTGATTCTTCTGCCTCAGCCTCCGGAGTAGCTGGTACAGCAAACATGTGCCACCACGCCTGGCTAAATTTTGTATTTTTAATAGAGACAAAGTTTCACCATGTTGGCCAGGCTGGTCTCAAACCCCTGACCTCAAGTGATCTACCTGCCTTGGCCTCCCAGAGTGCTGGGATTACAGGCATGAGGCACCACGCCCAGCCTCTATGATGCCTTCTCATCACCACATCACCATGCTGGTTCATCTCCATGGCATGCTGGAGGTAGCTGGTATCTGCTCTTGAGCATGGATTGTGCGTTTCTCTTCCAACTCCATGTTCAGTGACCTGCATTTTGATAGTTCAAATTTTATTTTTATTTGTTTTTGTTTTCATTCTTTTGGTAGCCTGAATTTTAACATGTTGGGAGTATTTTCACCATGAAAATTGGCAAATGCCACAAACCAGGCACCCTCCAGAGCTGGCTGTTAAGCACTGACCAGCATATATATCAGTGTTGGCTCGCTGCCCCCAATCATTCTCCTACTGGCTTAGTTCCTTGCCTGCTGTTAGAGCAGAGTAGAGGCTGAGAAGTCAGGGAGTTAAACATCTGGACTGGGATACAGAATCCTCTGTGAAGCTCTTGAACAAGTTATATAGCCTCTTTAATACCCAGCTTTCTACTTTGTGAAGCGGGGTTGATATACACCCCGCTTGGGGCTGTGAAGGTGAAATGAAATGATGTAAGCACCTAAGGTGCCTGGTGGGTACAGAGTCAATGCTCAGTAAGTGGAATCTATTAGGTCAGTTTTTTTTTTGGCCAGTACCGATAGTCATTCGTTCAACAATACGTAGGGAATGGCTATTAGTAAAGTGCTTTTGGTTCCACCTGTATGGTTTTATTTTATTTATTTATTTTAATTTTAGTACCAAGTATTCTGAGCTTCCTTTCACCTGTATGGTTTTTTAAAAAAATTGTTTGTTTATTTATTTATTTATTTTTGAGACAGGGTCTCACTCTGTCACCTAGGCTGGAGGGTAGTGGCATGATCTCGGCTCACTCTAACCTCTGCTTACTGGGCACAAATGATCTTCCCACCTTAGCCTCCCGAGTAGCTGGGACTACACGTACATGCCACCATGCCTGGCTCATTTTTGTATTATTTATTTATTTATTGAGACCGTGTCTGGAGTGTCTTGTCACCCAGGCTGGAGTACAATGGCACCATCTTGGCTCACTGCAACCTCTGTCTCCCAGGTTCAAGCGATTCTCCTGCCTCAGGCTTCTGAGTAGCTGGGATTGCAGGCATGCACCACCATGCCCAGCTAATTTTGGTATTTTAGTAGAGACAGAGTTTCACCATGTTGGCCTAGGCTGGTCTCAAACTGCTAACCTTAAGTGATCTGTCCACCTCAGCCTCCCAAAGTGCTGAGATTACAGGCATGGGCCACTGTGCCCAGCCAATTTTTGTAGAGACGGAGTTTCACCATGTTGCCTAGGCTGGTTTCAAACTCCTGAGCTCAAGTGATCCACCCTCCTTAGCCTCCCAAAGTGCTGGGATTATGGGTGTGAGCTACCATGCCTGGCCTCCACCCATATGGTTTTAAATGTACAGATAAGCAAGAATGAAACACTACCCTGGAATTCTGAGTTTTCCAATCACCTATTTGATGTCATGTGGACTCTACACCTGGGCCTTTGACATAGTCTCAACTTGCCATCAGTAGACAGGGTCCACAGGTCTGGTCTTCTCTTTTGTCAGAGCACCTAGAGCACCTAGAGCACCTTCATCCGCCACCTCCCTATCTTCCTAAATATCCTCCTCATGCTTTCATTGCCTTCCCTTTCTCCTCAAACAGGCAAACAACCTTCTTTCCAGCGCACCTCCTCTGCGTTTGCTCCCATGCCTGTGATGTGGCTGTCAGGTTCAGAGTTATTCTCAGACCTGCGTAACAAGAACGCTAGGATGAGTCACCTGGTGCCTGCTTTTTTTAATAACCTGAGGCCAAGGCAGGAAGGCCTGATTTCCCTGGCAAAGTTAATTGTCTGGCAAAAGTGCTGCCTCTGCTTTTTCCCCCATTTTTGGTTCCCTTTCCTGCCTCCGTGCCCATTCAGTGTTGCGCTCAGAAGGGCATCTTCCACTTCAGCATTCCTTTAGCGTGAAAAATGGTTATCATGGGAAAAGTGCTAAATTCTAAACCCTTCAGGTTCTTTTTTTTTTTTTCTTTTTTTGAGACTGAGTCTCACTCTGTCACCTGGGCTGGAGGGCAGTGGTGTGATCTCGGCTCACTGCAAACTTTGCCTCTGGGTTCAAGTGATTCTCTTGCCTCAGCCTCCTAAGTAGCTGGGATTGCAAGCACCCACTACCACGCCCAGCTAATTTTTGTATTTTTAGTAGAAACAGAGTTTCACCATGTTGGCCAGGCTGGTCTTGAACTCCTGAGCTCAGGTTATCTTCCTGCCTCAGCCTCCCAAAGTGCTGGAATTATAGGTGTGAGTTACTGCACCCAGCCTAAATCCTAAACCCTTCAGGTTCTTGCAATTATCAGTGATGTTGAGATTGAATTAATTTGGAATAAAGGCATTTGTTGTAAGGGAGGCTATTAACTTCTTCTTTTCTTTCTTTTTCTTTTGAGATGAAGTCTGGGTCTGTTGCCCAGGCCAGTGTAATGATATGATCTTGGCTCACTGCAACTTCCGCATCCTGGGTTCAAGCGATTCTCCTGCCTCAGCCTCCCGAGTAGCTGGGATTGCTGGTGCCTGCCACCATGCTCAACTAATTTTTATATTTTTTAGTAGAGACAGGGTTTCACTATGTTGGTCAGGCTGGTCTCGAACTCCTAGCCTCAGGTGATCTACCTGCCTCGGCCTCCCAAAGTGCTGGGATTACAGGTGTAAGCCCCCACGCCTGGCCCTATTAACTTCTTTATACCTCAGTTTAAATATGAAGTGTTCGCAAAACTTAAGAAGTTCCTGCTTTCTGCACACACAGGCTCCTTGTGGAATTCTTCAAACGCTTCCAAGTGCATCATTGTCAACGTGATCAGTTTTTCATTGCTTGAATTTCAGAGCTGTTTACAGATGTAGAAACACTCAAAATGGGTACACGTTGTTTCATGTTGGCAGCTCTTTCACCATCAGTTTTAAAGTGGGAAAGTTGCTATGTGAGCAGCCTGAAAATGAAAAATAAGTTACAGCTTGGCACTAATAGAAAATAGATCACGTTGGCCAGACGCTCACACCAGCACTTTGGGAGGTTGAGGCAGGAGGATTCCTTGAGCTCAGGACTTCAAAACAAGCCTGGGTAACATAGCAAAACCCTGTCTCTAAAAAATAACAATTAAAAAAAAAAACATGTCGCCAGGTGCGGTGGCTCACGCCTGTAATCCTAGCACTTTGGGAGGCCAAGGTGGGTGGATCACCTAAGGTCGGGAGTTCAAGACCAGCCTGGCCATCATGGAGAAACCCCATCTTTAAAAAAAAAAAGAACATGTCAAACAGTATTTTTCCAACTCATCTAATTAATTGAAAGACTATACCTGAAAAATGTTTTACAGCAACATTTTTGTTAAAATAATTGACCACAATTAGTATACCCTAGATACCTTATTATTTCCATAAAGTACTCCTAGAGATCAGTAATATTCCTCAGCTTTTTATTGTAATATTTTCAGTAGATAATAACATTTCAGTTATTAGAAAATAAAGTGATGTGTTTACATAACATTTCAATATTAGAATTTTCAAACATGATTTTATTTTACTTTGAGACCAAGTCTCTCTTTGTCACCCAGGCTGGAATGCAGTGGTGCCATCTCAGCTCACTATAACCTCTGCCTCCCAAGTTCAAGCAATTTTCCTGTCTCAGCCTCTGGAGTAGCTGGGACTACAGGCACCTGCCATCATGCCTGGCTGATTTTTGTATTTTTTTAGTAGAGGTGGGGTTTTACCATCTTGGCCAGGGTGGTCTTGAACTCCTGACCTCAGGTGATCCTGCCACCTCCGCCTCCCAATTACAGGTGTGAGCCACCACTCCTGGCTTCAAACATGATTTTAGATCAGTTTTTTTGTTTTCAAGGTAGTCACAATTTACCACTGAGAATGAACACATATCAAGGTTATGGGTTTGATCATTTGAGAAATGGCAACACCGTTCAATTTAAACATTTTCTGACTTTTTACTATGGAATCTCTCATGGTATACAAATAAATTTTAGATTTTTTAGAGCCAAAAATGAAAATACTTTAGAACAAAATCAGGCCAAATCTTTGCAATTCAAAGTGGCTGAACACCTAAAAGAAACACGATAAAAACTTGCCAATTACATGTCTTCTCAGAGGTCTGGACTGAATTTCTCTCTAATAATTTGGACATTTCTTCTCTTTGCCAGTGTTACAGGAACAAAATCTCCAGAGGGAGTTATTTTTGGAATTATGATAACCTTCTCTGCATTTCTTGGTAAGTACACAATAATTATTATAAATAATCAAAAAGCTCACAATTCCAAGTGAAGTCAGATGTGTTATTTTTAGTTTGTGTATAATTTTTATTTTATTTTATTTTATTTATTTTCTTCTGAGCCAGGGTCTCTGTTGTTCAGTCTGGAGTGCAGTGGTGTGATCACAGCTCACTGCAACCTAGACCGCCCGGGCTCAGGCAATTCTCCCACCCCAGAGTAGCTGGTACTACAGGCACACACCACCATGCCTAGCTAATTTTTTGTGTTTTTTGTAGAGATGGGGTTTTGCCATGTTGCCAGGCTGGCCTTGAACTCCTAGGTTTAAGTAATCCACCCGCTTTTGCCTCTCAAAGTGCTGAAATAATAGGTGTGAGCCACTGCACACGGCCTGGTGTATAACTTTTAAAAAGCACAACCTTTGGAGCTAGATTTTTGTGCTATTTTGAGAAACTGAAATGAAAAGATATCCAAAATTATGGCTTTATTAGAGAACTATACTTTATTTAGTAATTTATAACAGGATTTTCTGTAGGTGGTTTTAAATACCAAACTCTGGAATGGATTTTAAGTGCAATTTGGTTTTTAAAAATGTTGATTTATATTCAAGACACTTATGTAAACCAAAGACACCCAGTGCGTAAGCGAAGTTTCTCAAAGTGTGGTCTGAAGGCAACTAGTTGCCACACGACTCAGCCAGAACCTTTGGGAGTGTGGGTTCATGACTGTGCCTTCTCAACAAGCACTCCAAGGGACTTGGATTCTCACTAAGTTTGAGAACCATTGATAAAGGCACTATCTTACCTGTTAGAGAAAGGGAAAAGGTGAAGCAAGAAATAGTATGATTTTTCTTTTCAGTTCCCCAGATGCACCTGAGATGCAGTTGATAGGATACAACCTCATCATGAGCCAATTAATGTAATGCACAGTAATTACAACTATTGCACAATTAATGTAAGGCTCAGTCTTCTATAAGGCGATCCAAGTATATAGATGTTAGATGCAGGGCTTTTTCTCTTAGTCCTGCTGTAATCTACCCCCATGGAACAATCATGTGTTTGCCAAAGGCCTATCACGTAACCAGCGCTTTCTGTTTCTCTCTACTGGTACAGGGTGGGAAGGGACAGTGTTGCTAACCCTACTTAGTGACTTGGCATCTTTAGAATTTGTTCGTCCTACTTGGTAGTGGCAAAGTTTCTCCGCATCACCCATTTGTAGTCCTCCTAAGGTATTGGAGGTGAGCAAGGGGAAGTAGCAACATGGAGTCTGCCAATCCCAGTGCCCTCTTATGCCATCCTTGCCACGAATCCCGACTTGGAAAACAGAGAGATTATTTTATCACAGCAAGTGATAAATATGGCGTTTGCTTCTGAATAAAGCAGAAGGTGACATAAATATAATCATTTAAAATAGTCTGTGTGAGCTAGGTGCAGTGGCTCATGCCTGTGATTCTAGCATTTTGGGAGGCTGAAACAGGAGGATCTATTGAGCCCAAGAGTTCAAGACCAGCCCAAGTGAGATCCCATCTTTACAAAAAATTAAAAAGAAAGAGAGAGAGAGAGAAAGAAAGAAAGAAAGAGAAAGAAAGAAGGTAGTGAGATCCCATCTTTACAAAAAATTAAAAAGAAGGAGAGAAAGACAAAGAAAGAAGAAATAAATTAGCTGGGTGTGGTGATGTGTGCCTATAGTCCCAAATGTCCCAATGTGTGCCTATAGTCTCAATGTGGTGAGATCCCATCTTTACAAAAAATTAAAAAGAAAGAGAAAAAGAGAGAAAGAAAGAGAAAGAAGGAAAGAAAGAAAGAGAAAGAGGGAAGAAATAAATTAGCTGGGTGTGGTGATGTGTGCTTATAGTCCCAACTACTTGGGAGGGTAAGGTGGGAGGATTGCCTGAGCCCAGGAGGTCAAGGCTGCAGTGGCCATGATTGCGGCACTACACTCCCACCCAGTTGACAGAGTGAGACCGTGCTGCCAAAAGAAAAAAAAATGTTATGATAAGTTGTTAGTCTTTAGCCTGCTTTTTAAAAATTTAGGCATATATTATGGCCACCATACTATGTCTTTATACTTTATACTTTCCATGCATGCATGATATCCTTTGCAAGGATGTATTATGATTCATTTAATTACTCCCCTATTGTTCAACATTTAGGCTATTTCTGGTATTTTGTAGTTACAATGTTGAAGTGAACATCTTTTAAATATATCTTTGCATATTTGTGTTTTTCTATAAATTTGCTAAGTTAAAGGGAATACAAAAAAATTATAACTATTTATTTATTCAACATTTACAAAGTACGTACTATACGATAGGCTTTTGCTTGTTTATGCTTAGTGTCGAGGTCACAACAGCAAACAAAACAGACAAGACCCCTGCTCTCATGGAAGCTACATTTTATTGCCAAATTACAACAAATGATATTTGGTTAATTGACTCGCAGTTTCGAAAAACATACCTTTACTGTCCTCCTCACATCATACACAAGAACCAATTGCAGTTTAGTAAACATGAAAAGCAAAACTATGTGGTAATTAAATTACAGGAGAATATTTTTAAACCTTGGAATAGAAACTTACACAAAACCCAGAAGCATGGAGTGATATGAGTATATAAAAATTAAAACTTCTAAATGATGGAAAATACAAGAAACATTGTTGAAAGACAAACAGTAGAGCAGAAGAAAATGTGCAATGTTTATAACAGATAGTAGACTAATGGACATAGTGTGTAAAAAGTAACTACAAATTCGAAATAGACAAGCCCAAGAGAAGAATAAAAAGAAAATTGTAAACATGCATTTCTCAGAAGAAGAAATGCTGAAAATTGCTAAATCTCACTAATATCAGGGAAATGCAAATTAAACCATCAGGTTGCATTTTTCATTTATTAGATTAGAAGGAATAAAAAGGCAAGGGCATACGACATTGCTCTCAAATTCTGCCAGTGGGAGTCTAAATTGTTAACTGTCCTTGGAGCAATTTGGAGGTGTTTCTAAGCATTTTAATTTTGCGTGTTTTTTTGACCCAGTAATATAGCTCCTAGGAACCCATCTTTCAAAAACACCTGAAAGTGTGCCCAAAGATTTATATACAAGGATATTCATTGAATGTTGTTTGTAGCAGGAAAAAATGTGGAAACAATGTAGAAATTCATTTTTAGGAGAACAATGAAATAAATATAGAGCATCATGAGACCCCGGAAAACAATGAAGTAAACCTGTTTGTACTTACATGAAAAGATCTCTATGCTACATTGTTAAGTAGAAAAAGCAAGTCACTGAATAATGCATGTACTATAATAGCATCTACATGAAAAGGACAACAGCCAAGATGTGTGTGTTTGTGTTTGTGTGTGTTTGTGTGTGTGTGTGTGTGTGTGTGTGTCCATGTTGGGGAGAGAGTAAGATGGAGTCAGGATGGACAGGGGTGGGAAAGTGGGGAGACTTGTAATCAGTACATGTGATATGAAGCTGCTTCTGTTTTTCATTCTAAAGAAATCAAATTATGAACATTCATCAAAGTTCTCTTCTTTTTCAGCTGCAGCCACAATTTATACAAGATATAAAATAGTAGAGAAGCAGAATCGAACCTACTATTTCAGCACTCCTGCTCTTAACTTGGTGTCTTTCTTTCTTGGATTGTTGGGATGTATTGGAATGGTTGTTTTTCCCTGTTTTGAGGTAAAAGCTGAAGCTTTTCAGTTGTGAGGAGTGGTGGAGTGTATGTGTCTGAGGAGAGTAGCAGGAATGCAAGAGGCACACTATGCCATTATAGCCATTAAATGCTTGATGAGTTTACAATAAGGGGGTTAGTCCACTTTTTAGAAACAAACTTTTAACATTTGAAAGTTAGGGTGGGGCGCAGTGGCTCACGCCTCTAATCCCAGCACTTTGGGAAGCCAAGGTAGGCAGATCCTGAGGTCAGGAGTTCAAGACCAGCTGGGCCAACATGGTGAAACCCTGTCTCTACTAACAATACAAAATTAGCTGGACAAAAGTGGCACGCACCTGTAATCCCAGCTACTCAGGAGGCTGAGGCAGGAGAATCGCTTGAACACAGGAGGTGGAGGTTGCAGTGAGCTGAGATTGTGCCACTTGCACTCCAGCCTGGGCAACAGAGCAAGACTCCATCTCAAAACAAACAAAATTTGAAAGTCAGTTCTGTACTTGGGAGAAATGGAGTGCACATTTGCATAATTATGTGAGAGTGTGTGATTCAGAAGAGGCCTTGGGCTTTGCATTGCTCCATGTTCTCATAGATGTGGTTTGATGTGTTGGGGGAGCTACCTCAACTACTGTGATGATTTTGTTAAGGGTGTGAAAATATTTGCATGTGTTTACCAATTCTACCATTTAAACTTCTGGTGTTCAAAGAGGAGGCTCTTAGTGACATTTCCTTATCTTGTATGACAGTATGCATTTTGGTTTTCATAACAGCAAACACTTATTGAAATTTTCCTGTGACACGTTTATTGAAATATCCCATATTTTAATTCATACAATTATAGTAAAAGCCTTGTAAGATATGCTCTATTATTTTCCCTATTTAGGCCCAGAGAGGTTAATACTTGCCAAAGATGAGATAAGTAATGCATGGCAGAAGTGGGTTTTTCTTTTTGGTTTTTTTTTTTTTTTTTGAGATGGAATTTTGCTCTTGTTACCCAGGCTGGAGTGCAATGGTGCAATCTTGGCTCACCGCAGCCTCCTCCTCCTGGGTTCAGGCAATTCTCCTGCCTCAGCCTCCTGAGTAGCTGAGATTACAGGCACATGTCACCATGCCCAGCAAATTTTTTGTATTTTTAGTAGAGACGGGGTTTCACCATGTTTACCAGGATGGTCTTGATCTCTTGACCTCGTGATCCACCTGCCTCAGCCTCCCAAAGTGCTGGGATTACAGGCTTGAGCCACTGCACCTGTTTTTGTTTTTGAAATGGAGACTTGCTCTTGTCACTCAGGCTGCAGTGCAATGGCACAATCTTGGCTCACTGCAACCTCCATCTCCTGAGTTTAAGTGATTCTCCTATCTCAACCTCCCGAGTAGCTGAGATTACAGGCGCCCACCACCCCACCTGGCTAATTTTTGTATTTTTTTAGTAGAGATGGGGTTTTGCCATGTTGGCCAGACTGTTCTTGATCTCCTGACCTTGTGATCTGCCCACCTGCCCAAAGTGCTGGGATTACAGGTGTGAGCCACCACGCCTGGCCTAGAGGTGGGCTTTGAATGGAAGTCATCTTCCTAGAGCCTGTGAGAGCTATCTTCAATGCCAAAATGGAGAAATACCTGTGACCTAAAAGAGCAAATACACAATGCACAGTGCTACCATCAGGAAGCACACACACAAAAAAATACAAAGGAAGACCTGGAATGATATAATTTGTCTAGTGCAGTGTGGTTATGGTTTAATGGAGGCTCGTATAGATATATCATTTTATCCTCTGAATAACAACATTATAAGAGATATAGATGTCAGTTTTTATTTTATTTTTTTCATTAAAAAGACGGGGTTTCACCATGTTGGTCAGGCAGGTCTTGAACTTCCGACCTCAGGCGAACCGCCCGTCTTGGCCTCCAAAGTGCTTGGATTACAGGCGTGAGCCACTATGCCTTGCTAGATGTCAGTTTTTAAACCGTTAAAGGGCAGACTTTAAGAAGAAAACTTAGATGGTTAAATAATTTCAACTTTTGATTCTCCTTAAGTCTTCAATGGTGATTAAATCTTCACACAAACTAGAAATAGAATCTTAACTTCCCAAGGAGCAAAGTGTTTGACTTGTCATTGTTCTGATAACTGTATCTTTACCACTTCCTTGTTCAGTATCCTGTAATTCATCCTTGTCTTACCAGGAGCAAACCAACTTGAGCTGTTAACTCAAGAAGATTTTGAGATGTGAGGGCAAGAGAGAGTGTGACTGTCTCTGGTGGTTTTTCTTTTTTTGTAGAGACAGAGTCTTGCTCTGTCCCCCAGGCTAGAGTATAGTGGTGGGATCTCAGCTCACTGCAACCTCCGCCCTGGGTTCAAGTGATTCTCATGCCTCAGTCTCCTGAGTAGCTGGGATTAGAGGCGCCCACCACCATACTTGGCTAATTTTTGTATTTTTAGTAGAGACAGGATTTCACCATGTTGGCCAGGCTGGTCTCAAACTCCTGACCTCAAGCGATCCACCTGCCTTGGCCTCCCAAAGTGTTGGGATTGCAGGCATGAGCCACTGTGCCTGGCCATGGTGATTTTTCTTGAGTTGTAATAAATCACATTTTTGAGAATTTCACAGATAATCTTTTTCTCAAACAGGTGGGTGAGATGGCTACTTTTTGGTGTGTCCTCACTAACTTCTGTCAATACTTTATTTTCCCTCACAAAATTTTCTTTTTGAAATTCTGTCATTTGTGGCCACATGAATGAACATGGAGGACCTTATGCTAAGTGAAATAAAGCAGTTACAGAGGGACAAATACCAAATGCTCTCACTTATATGTGGAACCTACGAAAGTCAAGCTCACAGAAGGGGAGAGTAGAATGGTGTCACAGGAGTGAAGGGGAGGATGAGAATTGGGGAGATATTGGTCAAAGGGTACCAAGCTTCAGTTAGAATAAATTAATAATTCTGGAGATCTATTATTGCACAGCCTGGCGACTATAGTCAATAATAATGTTTTGTATGTTTCAAATTGCTAAAACAGTAGGTTTAAAATGTTCTCATCACAAAAAAAAGAATATGTGAGGTGATAGATATTTTAATTACATTGATTTATTCATTTCACAATGTAAACATACATCAGAATATCTACAGCCAGGCATGGTGGCTCATGCCTGCAATCCCAGCACTGAGGGAAGCCCAGGCAGGAGGATTGCATTAGCCCAGGAGTTTGAGACTAGTCTGGGCAACATAGAGCAACACAGGGAGACTGTTCCTCTGGAAACACACACACGCATGCACACACACACACACACACATGCATGCACGCATGCACGCATCCCTACAAGCCTCATAAATACAATTATTATGTTTTGAGACGAAGTCTTGCTCTGTTGTCCAGGCTGGAGTGCAGTGGCTCACTCCAACCTCTGCCTCCCAGGTTCAAGCAATTCTCCTTGCCTCAGCCTCCTGAGTAGCTGGGATTATAGGTACCTGCCAAAATGCCTGGCTAACTTCTGTATTTTTTTAGTAGAGATGGCGTTTTGCCATGTCATCCAGGCATGTCTTGAACTCCTGACCTCAGGTGATCTGCCCCTCCACCCACCGCCCCCAGCCTCCAGAAGTGTTGGGAGGCATGAGCCACTGTCCCTGGCCTATAAACAATTATTATTTGTCAATTAAAAATAAAACTTTTAAAAGTTTCCTTTTTAGAAAAGAAAATTTCTGAGGTTTAACCCTGTCAGTATTCACATATTCTTTTTTGTTGTTACTACCTTTTAAATTAACAAGAGAGTTTCTAAAAGGCAGTCCAAGAAGAGTGCCGGGTTTTAACTTTTTCAAAAATTCACGTCTGATATAAAAATCATTTCCCTGCTTTTTTGATTGACTGATTGATTGATTGATAAACGGTCTCACTCTATCACCTAGGCTGGACTGCAATAGCACAATCATAGCTCGGTGTAACCTTGAACTCTTAGACTCAACCTTGAACTCCTCCTGTCTCAGTCTCTTGAGTAGCTGAGACTACAGGTGCACCATTATGCCCAGATAATTTTTATTTTTACTTTTGTAAAGATGGGGTCTTGCTATCTTTCTGAGGCTGGTCTTTTTTTTTTCAATTCAAATGTTGATATTTTATTTTATTTTATTGCATTTTAGGTTTTGAGGTACATGTGCAGAACATGCAAGATAGTTGCATAGGTACACACGTGGCAGTGTGATTTGCTGCCTTCCTCCCCATCACCTATATCTGGCATTTCTCCCCATGCTCTCTCTCCCCAACTCCCCACCCCCCACTGTCCCTCCCCTATTTCCCGCCAACAGACCCCAGTGTGTTGTGCTCCCCTCCCTGTGTCCACGTGTTCTCGTTGTTCAACATCTGCCTATGAGTGAGAACATGCGGTGTTTGATTCTCTGTTCTTGTGTCAGCTTGCTGAGAATGATGGTTTCCAGGTTCATCCATGTCCCTACAAAGGACACGAACTCATCGTTTTTGATGGCTGCATAATATTCCATGGTGTATATGTGCCACATTTTCCCTGTCCAGTCTATCATTGATGGGCATTTGGGTTGGTTCCAGGTCTTTGCTATTGTAAACAGTGCTGCAATGAACATTCATGTGCATGTGTCCTTATAGTAGAACGATTTATAATTCTTTGGATATATACCCAGTAATGGGATTGCTGGGTCAAATGGAATTTCTATTTCTAGGTCCTTTAGGAATCGCCACACTGTCTTCCACAATGGTTGAACTAATTTACACTTCCACCAACAGTGTAAAAGTGTTATTTCTCCACATCCTCTCCAGCATCTGTCATCTCCAGATTTTTTTAATGATCGCCATTCTAACTGGCATGAGATGGTATCTCAATGTAGTTTTGATTTGCATTTCTCCAATGACCAGTGATGATGAGCATTTTTTCATATGTTTGTTGGCCTCATGTATGTCTTCTTTTGTAAAGTGTCTGTTCATATCCTTTGCCCACTTTTTAATGGGTTTGTTTGTTTTGTTCTTGTAAATCTGTTTTAGTTCTTTGTAAATTCTG